TGCTCGCTGGACAGCTGGCGCTCCAGCCGCTGGGCGGCGTGCTGCGGCTCGGCGGCGCCGGGCAGCTCGCCGCGGGCCCCCCGGGGCCCCCTGGTGGGCTCGCTGTGCAGCCGCTGGCGGCCGGGCTCCTGCAGCACCACCTCGGCCATCACCGCCACCTCGGCGCGCTCCTCGCCGGGCGCCGCCTCGCGGTCCCGCCCCCGCACCTTCTCCAGCCGGCTCGCCACCAGCAGCGGCGTGACGGCGTCGTCCAGGTGTTTGATCTTGGGTTGCCGTAGGAACGGGGACGCCCGGCCCTCGGGGTCCCGGGGCGGCGGCTGCAGCTGGCTCGGCGCCCTGGGCGGCGTGCCGACGCTCTCCCGCATCTGGTTGGCCGAGACCAACATGGCGGCCGTGGCGACCGAGGCTATGGAGGACGGCGCCGGCTGGCCCAGCCCGGCGGCCACGCCCACCACGCCCGCCACGCCGCTGTGCCGCGCCTCCAGCGCCTGGCGGTAGGCGGCGCCGTCCACGGCGGGGGCGTAGCCGCCCGCCATGGCGACCATGGCGCCCAGGCGCCGCGCCGCCGCCGACGGGGACGGCGTGGGGGTGGCGGGCGAGGGGGACGGCGGGGAGCTGGCCTCGTTCTGCTCGTAGATGGTCTGCCTCATGACGGGGGACACGGGCAGGCGGGGGAGGGCCGAGGGGGCGGGCGGCGAGGGGCCGGGCGCCATGGCGACGGCGTCCAGCGGGTCCAGGAAGACTTTGCGGCCCAGGAGGGGCGTGGGGGGCAGCTTGCTCTGCTCCGCCTTCAGCTTCTCCACCTGGACACAGAAACACAGTCTCATCCAGGATCTGAACCAGGTCTGAATCCAGGTCTGATCCAGATCTGATCCAGGTCTGATTCAGGGCTGATCCAGATCTGATCCAGGTCTGATCCAGGTCTGATCCAGGGCTGATCCAGGTCTGAACCAGGTCTAATTCAGGTCAGAATCCAGATCTGATCCAGCTCTGATCCAGGTCTGATTCAGGGTCTGATCCAGGTCTGATCCAGGTCTGATCCAGGTCTGAACCAGGTCTAATTCAGGTCAGAATCCAGATCTGATCCAG